TTCTGAGTTTGTAGGCGATAGGGGTGCGAGAAAGAAAAACAAAACTTTGCCTGTTCAGAATTTGCGGTACACGCAGTAGGGAATACCATCAAACGTTTGTTTCATCCATTACAAAGTTGGTCTGTTCCCGTACTGCAAGAATCTACTAGATTTTACTATTTTCTTCGATATCATAAAGGAAAATTCGTTATCGTAGTAAAAAGTAGTACATTCTTGCAGTACGGGAACAGACCAAGTAATTACTTCCAGACGAACATAAAAACACAATTTTCATTTCAATTAAATTTGAATATATTTCAATTTATTTGACATAGTATTCAAAACAATACACACACATACACAAAATATGTATTTTGATTTGATGGAACAAGCTCCCTTGAGAAAAAATTATAATTAGTTGGTAGCTGTGCCCTACCTTGTAATAATTATACAATTTCAATTGAGAAAACAAAAATTTGCCAAATAAAAATCTGCCTGTGGAAAAGCGGTCTAAGTCATGAATGAAAATAATTAATTAGGGGAGAGAGGGGTACCTTAGAACACTTTTTCCTTTGAAGCCTCATACAAATTTTTATGTTATAATTTTTTGTTTTTAATTTTTAACTGATTGGTACGGATCATGGTACAATAATACAAGGTAGGACAGCTTGAGGTGAATAACAAAAAAGCAACTATGCACGTGTGGCTTCTTCTGACAAAAATAAAATAAATATACACAACAAGTGCTTAATTAGCATTTTTTCAACACAAAACTAAAAACGCGAAAAATGAATAAAAGGTTATGATTTCTTCCCAAAATCCAGTAGGGAATACCATCAAATGTTTGTTTCATACATAACAAAGTAATTATTTCCAGACGAACATGTTAAAAACATAATTTTCATTTCAATTAAATTTGTATATATTTTAATTTATTTTGAATTTATTTGACCTTGTAATCAAAACAATAAACACACATACACAAATATGTACCTTGAGAAAAAATTGTAATCAGTTGCTAGCTGTGCCCTACATTGTAATAATTATACAATGGTACAGATGTAACCTTTGCACAGAATATTCATATGACTTACTTTAAGTTCGATTAAATATTTCATTAATGTTTTAATGGACGAAGTCATTATTTTTAAAGCTGTGCCAAGGGGGGCGCCCTTACAACAACAAACTTAAAATAGTTCACTCATCTACATTTTGTTAACAACTGAAAAAGCTAGTCAAAGTTATTTACGCTGCTGAAGTACAAGATTTCCAAAAAAAAGAAATATTGCGGGTCGGAAAAAATTCAAACCGAGATTTTATAAGCCCACGTTCAACGGTGCCCCCTCTCCACTATATAACAATTGAATTATAAAATTGTTCATTTCTTTAATCTTCAATTCATACTTTCAATTATTTTTTATTCTTTTGGGTTTAAATGTCATAAATTGTCCAGGTTTAATGTCTATGAAAAATTCAAGTCATTCACTAAACAACTGACAAATATATAAAAACGCAAATCGTTTGTAAACACTAGGTTAGCTTGACTTTCAAATTAATAATAATAAAATCCTACTTCATCTCGAATGTCAACTTTTGATAGGCTGTAGTGTTGTTCTTAAACGACTTATTTCCAATTTAATTTTTTTTCTAGTTTTCTTTGCCTATTTTACATATTCGTATATACTTTGATGCATGGTACAATTATAAAAGGTAACAGCAAATCCCAGCTGATTTGATTCCAACGTAATACTAGTGTCAATATGAATTTGACAAATTATGTTTTTAAAAATCGCCCAACAGGAAAATTGGGAACGCATACAATTTGAAATTGTTCTTTATTAATGTGCTCCCATATTCAATTTACTCTAGCAAATCGTTCTTGAAGTATGTGTTACACATATATATGGCAATGGCTCAATTAAAGGAAAGATGTGGAAGCGATAGAAATATAAATTTGATAGATTTTCATTCATGTTTTTCAATTTTTATTTTGATGATTCGAAAATATTCCATTTTCAAAATAAAAATAATTTGATGATAATTTGTTTGTTTGTTTACATTTTTCTGTCAAATGAGTTGACACTAGTAGAACTTACAACAACAAATTTCCATGTGGTTGTTGTATCGTTTTTTGTACAACAACACTTGCTGTTACCTTTTATTATTATACCATGACTTTGATGTTGATTTTGACATTGTTCTCCTTTAAAACTTTTCTATTAAAACAAGCACGGGAACAAAGCAATATGTAACACACATGCCATTCCGTTTGCGTCACCATTAAAGTTTCCCTGTATTGTCGCATTGAGTATGTTCAGTGTGTGCCATTTTTTTATTAAAACGTAATTCGTGTTTCAAAAAGCGGGTAAAATTTTAGAGTGCAAGAAAAATTGAACGACAAATATTGAAAAACTGAAATTGAGTAATAATTCAGACAATAAGTGAATTATATGAACTAATAACGATTGATCTATAAAAGATATGACTTACATCAAGTGATATTTACTAGAAAAGTTCTTGATTAGTCGTGATCAGTTGCAAACATTTTTCTGTCAATCAACCGTTATGTGGGAAAGCAAATGTGTCACACAAGGAACCAAAAAATGAATGAATAAATGTGATCTTACCATTCGAACCAAGGACCGCTGTGAATGATCAAATGGAGGTGAATGGTCCCCAGTTTATTATTTGGTAAATTCAGAAATGCACAAATAAAAAATATGTATGATTTTCTTTCAGTTGAAATTCTACCACATAGGGAAATGATTCCTTGGTAATACATCTCAATCTTATGTACACAAAGTTAGTAAATCAACAGGAGTTGAGAAATGTATCTTGTGATCAAGTCCGAAACAGTCCGAATAATAGGGTAAGTAAACTTTTACCATATATAGCCCTTTTGATACTGATGACAATTTGTTTTTCGTGTTTGTGTTTCGGTTGGAAATCAGTTCTTCCCGATATAAGGGTTTCCATAGTTTCAAAAATATCCCCAAATTAGATTATCACTCCAGAACTTTTGATTTTTTTACTACAGATAGTCCTTTTGGAACAACTCTAGTTTAGTAAAAACGATCAAATGTTTCTGAAATTTTTTCCAGAGGTAGGTATTTTTACCCTAATTATGGGGATATCTTTTTTTCTTGGGGGACGTACCCGGTTACCCGGTTATTTGACCCGGAAGTTCGGGTACGGGTACCCGGTTATATCCGGTTCTACGGATCCGGTTAATATAATATGGGTATCATTTTAAAGGATATAAAAATACCTTTCCATTGAGTGGAAATGGAACCAAAATGGTTATCTCAAACCATTTTGGGGATATAGTAAAAAACTGGGTTTTGGTCCCCGATTTTTTTGAAAAACTCCCTAAAAATCGAACTTGGGTCCATTTACTGGGATTTAAGACTTTCATCTATGGACAGATGCCAACACCGGCTAACGCGGCAGAAAATCCTTCTAAATATAATATTTTTTGTGTAGCCGGCCTTCGGCCGGGGATTTAAGACTTTCTCCTATGGACAGATACCAACATCGGCTACGCGACAGAATTTTCTTGTTTTTGTAGGGTTCTAAGGCCCATATTAAATTAACCGGATCCGTAGAACCGGATATAACCGGGTACCCGTACCCGAACTTCCGGGTCAAATAACCGGGTAACCGGGTACGTCCCCCAAGAAAAAAAGATATCCCCATAATTAGTGTAAAAATACCTACCTCTGGAAAAATTTTCAGAAAAATCTGATCGTTTTTACTAAACTAGAGTTAAGCCGTCCTTTTGATACTGGTTATGACCACATTATTATTTTTTTTTTGAAAGTTCTTTCCTAAATTTGAGTCGATTGTGATCAGTATAAAAATAATTATCTGTTCTAAAAATTTCAAATGTTTCAGAAAGGTAATCGTAATGATTTTTTTTTATATTGGGGTATTTTTGGAAATTAGGAACCAAGTATATCATAAAGTACTGATTTTACCCCGAAAAAACATGTTGAGAGTTGTCTGTAAACTACATTTGTTGAGTAAGCAAAAGAGTATGAAATAAATATTAGGATACGCAAAATTTGTAAAACAGCCGGACATTTCTTTAAGTTTCCGAAGCGAAGTGGTATCAAAGATACTTGGGATTTAAAATCGATATTTCTATAGAAATATCGAAATGTAACTTTTAGACCCTATGTTTCTTTGAATTTGGAGCTGAAGTAGAATTGTCAGTCCGTCTGTTTAGTGTTCGCGATAACTCTTGAAGGTAGTAACCGATTTCATTCAAACTTTGTTCATCGTAATATTGTTTTTCAAAAGTAGGTTAAGTTCGAAAATAGGAAATATCGTTGCACTTTTCTTGGTAACTCCCTCTCAAAATGGCTCATAATATAATTTGAGTGGAGTATCCTATTTAAACCGATGTTTGCAAATGTCCCTACCATAAATGATTGACATCGGTTCACTTTTTAGGGTAGCCCTAATACAACGATTTATTAATTACAGAATATTTTGGAGACTTTTTAACAGAAATGGCTCTAATTTATTTCTCATTTGTCGTCAATTATTTCTACCAAAATTTTACCATAAAATATCCCTCAATTCATGAAGGTCCCGAAGGATTACTGATATTTTAAATGTTAACCTCTAGGTGGAGGTTATAAAACTTAAAAATCTTTTTACTTGTTTTATTTTAAAATAAAATGAAAAGTGGCATATAGGTGTTCTATAGAGGATGCACTGTTTTCAATACACACAAATTTGATTCCTTTCGAATTGTATAGAAACATAATATAAATACGAATATAAAATATAATAAAAAGGCAAACATCACATTATGTTGTTTTATAAAATTTATTTTATATATATAATAAAAATTTATATAAAATATCGTATATAAAATTGTATACAAAAAAAACGTTCTTACATTCTAGACAATTATTTACAAATTCGAATATATATTTACATTTAATTTATATTTAAATCAATATGATTCATTTGTTAATAACTTATGATCTGTTTTCGCTCACATTCAATTCTTAAAGACCCAATAAATTACAAAAACTTCTGTACATTTTCGCATGCCGTCCCTTAAGGCAGCCATATAAATCGTTGATTTTCAAACAATCCGTTTTACTCAATGTTTTCCGTTGACCAATTCTAACACCCGGTTGTAGCGGTGTTATAGATGGCTTCTTACCCTTACTCTTACTAAAATAATATTCACCATAATGCATAACTGAATTGTAATCATATTCAAAACTATATTTTCCACGTTTTTTGGAGATTAATTTGAAATTCTTACGAAACTTGGGTACAATATTTTCCCAATGTACCTTAATGTAATTATCACGATCGGCCCGGGATTGTTCATGATAAATACCAATTGCGTGCATAAGTTCATGCATTATACGTCCCTCGCTGCTGAAACAATGAGCACTTGTTTCATCGGGTTTTTGCAGAGACACTACTTGTTCGCCACCCTTTCTGCCAACATAAGACCAGCATCCCTTGGGGCCATCTTCGGGGGGTGTTATCAGTATATAATCATCTTCCTCTCCATCGTATGGTACAAATTTGATGCATGTCAATGAATTAAATGTTTTCAATACACGCTCAATTGCCCTTCGCTCTCGCGAATCATAGAGGTAACTAATTTCGAATGGTATTGTACCATTCGGCCATAATCGTTTTGGATGTTTTGTTGGATTCACGCCCAGACGTAATGTGAGATATGTAAATGGATCAATGGCAATATCTCCTTGAAATAACCGGGGTTTAGTTTCAGGATCATCACCACCGGCATCGGTTAAATCATCTTCACTTATATTTGGTCCATAGGGGTCGTATTCATCTGAAATGGAAAGTTTTTATAAAAATTAGTTGTGTGCTTTGAAACAAATTGGAATAGGACATATTCTTACATATTTAAGAAAGGACTATACAATAATAAAGATTCACAATATAAAGATTCATCATAATTTCTTTTGACCTAATTTTATTGTTCCCAAGTGTTCCGATGAATTTAGCCTTAAAGACTATTAATGAAAAATGGGATATGATTACAGACTACACAAAAATACCCAATGATTTATTCCAAGAAATTCTAATTCTTGTATATGATGACAAGGTTTACAACAAAGATCGCCAGCGTCGCCGATAATTGCGGATGTTGTAATGGAGAAGATATTAAAATCTGATATCTTTACTATAGCGAAGAAGGCAGACATCGAGAACATTTGTTGAACTTTGAACTCGTTTGACAAGAATATGGAACTTAGGAACACTATAAATTACCCTATCAAGTTATATTGGTACAAAAAACTAACGGAATCTGGACGATTGATTAGGTTGAGGTTAGGTTTGGTTGAAAAGAGGGGTGGATGATACCACCACATTTCCAACATGAGGTGGACATACACATAAGTCATATGAGGCATGTTGTGCGCTCTAGAAATGCGGAGAAATTTGGAACTAGTGAAAGTTTAGATTAAAAAGCATTTGGGTTTGATTCCCCTATGAATCTAGGAGTTCCGTATTTTTTGAGAACTCCTTTAGTCTTCTCCATTCACACTCCCTCAGATCGGTTAGTCCGTGAAGAGTGTCATTTCCCAAGACTTGTTTCCGAAGGCTTGTAAATGCTGGGCAATGGCACAGGAAATGTTCCAGCGTTTCACTGTCTCCCCCACACGCTTTGCACATGCTGTTACCTTCGCATCCAATCTTAAGTAGATGTGCCTTCAGGATGAGGTGTTTTTCTGTAATGTTGCTATTTTCGCATCCTTTTGAAAGGGAAATGACGACGAACGAGTTTGGGAACTCTTATTAAATAATTCAAAATGTATAGTTGAACCATTCAACATAACTTATTGCATCTAAAACAGAATTCGCACAGATTTTATAGACAAAGATGTTGAAATTAATAGTGTCTCCGTTTTACTAAAATTGAATGGATTCTCATTTGTTTACAATGTTGAACATTTTCTGTGATCAGATTTTTTTTCAGAGTATGAGAAATTTCCACTTCTACTTATAAAAGGGCGGATAGTAATTATCCTGCTAGGATTCTCAAATCGGCTTATAATATGTTTCGAAAACTCCATTCGCTTCATAGGAAATTTATAATTTTTCAACATGTTGACCCTTTGTGTGGATAGGTACCAGAAGGAGCAACCCATATGTCTCATGTTTGACATTGATTTTGGTAATAATACTAGTATGTGTATATAACGGAGCAAATCCGATATTCCATTAGCTTATGAAGTATGGAAGTAACAGAAGGGCAAATATATAAATGAATACATTCCATTCACTAGATATTTTCAAAATTTTGACACTGGTAAAATATTGCGATGTGCATTGTTTGTTAAGTTTATTTTAATGACAGCAATTATTTCTATTGTATTCAGAAATTAATTATTTTAAATTCATTTATTATTGTTTCAATATTTATAGCAGTTCAAATTAACACACAGGACATATAATAATTGGTTCCATGCCCTTTCACACTTAATTTTTTTCCATACATTATAATTTATATTCACTCTTATTTTTATTTAGTTATTTTTTTGCATTTATCGAATTTAAATTTGTTTCATAAATATTTATCTATGCATGTATTTTTCACTTTTATTTGAAATTATTTCTTCTTTTTCCTTTTTTCACCTCATTTTATGAAAAAATTCCACTAAAATATTATTTTTTGCGTTTCTTTTTCACACACAGATGAAATACACACCTAATCCAACATGAGGAAATTCATGTTCGAAAAGATCCACACCAGCCGGATAATGTTTATTTGACAATTTAGCACAATATGCCGATTGCAAATACACAACAACAATAACGATGCAAAAAACTCCGATTATCGGCTTGAAATCAAAGCAAAAGAAGGTGCGTCTGCTGTGAACCACCATCATTCACCGAACATTGAATGCAAACTATTTCCACATTCGAACCAGGTGAGTAGTACAAAGCAATTCATTCCTTGGCGTAAAGATCTTTGGTCGCCCGTCACAAAAGACACGTTTTAATGGTTTCTAATGATTTCCTAAAGAAGGCCACAAATTTAACATATCTTCCAAATTGTTGGTTGTTGTTGTTGTCAATTTCAAATTTGATTTTAGATTTTACAACGAATAGAAGGCGGCACGCGCGTAGCCTTCTTTTTTATGGTTGGCGGGGATTAGATTGATGGTTAAATGTGCTGCGCGATTGTCGTTATGTTAGTTGCGAGAGTTGAACTGCGATTAAATAAATAATAGTTTTGAATGTCGTTGATATGTGTTTTTGTTGTTTGAGAAACCGCCATGCGACGATACAACGACAGGTCGTCCACGCCATCGACAGAAGAGTATTTTGGCATGGAATAAAATTTTTAACCAACCAGCTTCGCTGTTAGCGACAAACATATATGCATGCATTCATATGTCTGTCGGTCTGTGTGTTTACTTTCGCTAAGATCTAAAGCTGTTGATATTAAGTTGAGGTAACCAACCCAACGCTAACCAGCTCAAATCGAATGTATGAAGACATTTCTATTAGTGAGACAAGCGATTGAGATCAACAAAACAAATGATACTCTGTTTAAATGTGAGCCTAAAGCTAATATCTTAATTTGTTTGCCTTTTTTGTTTTGTTTGAAGTTGTTGTTTTAGTGTATTTTGAAAAATGTTATCACAATAAAAGGGTCAAAGGGGGTCAGGAGATCAAAAGGGGTTTCTTATAGCAAGGTCAAATGGTAGTGTTATATATAGACCAAAACTTTGTTTTATTGGATAATATAAGGTTTCCTGAATAGAAAAATAGTTTTACAATGAAGTTGCAATAGATCTTATTATAAATATGACAAGAATATAGTGTAGATCACTTTATTACAATAATAATATTTTTTCAACGAGCATGAATAAGCTGGATCTTCAATAAGCTGGATTTTTATAGAATATTTTTTCAGAAAGTTTTGATAGGCGTGAATTTTTAAATAATATTTTTTCAAGGAGCCTGAATAGGCGGCGACTTTTAAATAATATTTTTTCATGGATCCTGGATAGGCGTGGATTTTTAAATAATATTTTTTTCATGGATTCTGGATAGACGTGGATTTTTAAAGACTATTTTTTCATGGATTTTGGATAGGCGTGGATTTTTATACCCTTCACCACACTGTGGTACAGGATATTATGTCTTTGTGTATATGTTTGTAACAGGCAAAAGGAAACGAGATAGACACATGGTTCCTTTTGAGAATATGCATAGAATCACTTTCTAAGTCGATTTATGCATGTCCGTCCCATTTATTATTCGAATTGGATAAAATTTGGGACAGCTCATTCATTTGGCCCAAGGACGAAACCTACTGAAATTGGGAAAGTCGGTTCAGTTTTGGATATAGCTCCCGTATATATTTTTGTCTGATTTAAGGTAAATGGTGCACCAAAGTCCCTAAATATTTTTCGATTTGCACGAAATTTGTCATAGCGTACTGAATTAAGCCTACAATGATGCAACAAGTTTCGCGAAAATCGGTTCAGATTTAGATATAGCTCCCATATATATTTTCGTCCGAATTAAGGTCGATTTGCGCGAAATTTGGCACAGCATATTGAATTGAGTCTAGAATGATGTGTGCTAAGTTTCGTAAAAATCGGTTTAGATTTCGATATAGCTGCTACATATATTTCCGTTCGGTTTAATGTAAATGGTGCACCAAAGACCTCATATATATTTCGATTTGCACGAAATTTGTCAAAGCGTGTACTGAATCAACTCTAGAATGATGTGTGCTAAGTTTTGTGAAAATCGATTCAGATTTAGATATAGCTCCCATATATATTTTTGTCTGATTCTACCTAAATGGTGCACCAAATGAACAATATATCCAAAGTGGCGAAGGGTATCATATAGTCGGCTCAGTCCGACTTTACTACTTTCCTTACTGGTTAAAGACTATTTTTTCATGGATCCTGGATAGGTGTGGATTTTTAAAGAATATCTTTTTCATGTAGCCTTCATGGGCGTGGATTTTTAAAGAATATTTTTTTCATGGAGCCTTCATAGGCGTGGATTTTTAAAGCATATTTTTTCAAAGACCCTGAATAAGAATATTTTATTAGAGGGCCTGGCGTGCATTTTTAAAAAATATTTTTTAAGAGAGCCTGGATAGGCGTGTATTTTTAAAGCATATTTTTTCAAAGACCCTGAATAAGAATATTTTATTAGAGGGCCTGGCGTGCATTTTTAAAGAATATTTTTTTAGAGAGCCTGGATAGGCGTGTATTTTTAAAGAATATTTTTTCATGGAGAATAAGTAGGCGTGCATTTTTAAAGAATATTTTTTTAGAGGGCCTGGCGTGCATTTTTAAAGAATAGAGAGCCTGGATAAGCGTGGTTTTTCTTAAAAGAATATTTTTTCAAGGAGAATAAGTAGGCGTGGATTTTTAAAGTATATTTTTTTCTAGGAGCCTTCATTTTTTATATTAGAGATTTTATAAAAAATGAAAAATCTATTTATGATTATCAAGTTTTCATCATCCCTCCCTAATATCGGTTCGTTAAACTTTTCTTTTGCATTGAGTTCAACGACAGATAATCGATTACGACAACAGTGGCAACCACAACATGAGCAAAAATTCGCATAGAATTGTACGTGAATACCCAAAAAACACCTTGAAAACCGAATTTGGTTGTTGTAACCAAAGATTACGATCAAATTAATATGCAGAGTATATGTTCACCCCAAACGGTCACTTGAGACGCTTGGATAGTACTGGAATGATTGGTGGCTGGCGGTGGTGGTGGTATGTAAACAAATCAGTGCGACTTCAATGAATAACATTCATTAGTTGAATGGTTGAATATAAATACATATCAATTGTTTGTCTGCTTGTTCGATTGTGGGTAAAGTTAGTTAGTTGGTCAGCATAATAACGGTGGACATTGAATATCGGTATTGGGTGAAGGCGGGCGGGGCGATGACAAGCATTTTTCGCGCATATATGGTATTTTATGGATCTCCCCTTGATGGTCAGCGATTATTTTTGTTTACAATTTACATTTAGGCGGTATGTTAAAATAAAAAAATAGTTTCTTGTTAAACAAAAAATAAGGGGGTGATGCAACACCCTACAGTGTGGTTCAATGACCAACCATCTTAACAAGTTTAAACATACACACCTCCGATCTAGGGTTCAATTTTAAACAACTGACCTGATAAGCGATATTTTATTTATATATTTGTAGCCGATTTTATTTTGATTATAACAACTGACCCTATTTCTCCTGTAGGGTATTACAAAGTCAATCAATGAAATTATAAATTATGACTGTTTGAATAAATTTGTTTTCTTTTCATATTTGGTGCGACACTACAAGTTGTCATTGTGTTTTTTGTTTGTTTATTTTTCTTTCTTAAAATTTGTTGTTTTGATTTGGAAAAAAATGACCCATAGACCAAATCGTAGTGTAATAAGTCTGTTGTTAACATTTCGCAAATTGTTTGTGTGTTTCTTTTGCTGTGGATTTTTTGACAGCTCTCTGGGTGCTGTTGTTGGTCATTTTTTATGGACTGTATATTGAATTGCGTAAATATGGGTGTTGTTTTATCAAAATACCTTTTGTTCCCACCACCACACTATGCTAATCAATGAACGGGAATAGTTTTAATGGTGAATCTTCTTCTATGGTTCGGAAAGGCAAGGTCACCGTAGTCGCAGGTTTTTTTGGTCAGTCGGGTGGTATAGTTTTTATTTTTGTTTTCTATGTTAGCATATTTAATTAGCGTTCTATAGAGAAACTTTTGATTAATTAAACCGTGTTTGCTGTGGTAACACCAAATAAAATATTTTTATTTATCAAATGTCACAAAAATGAGGACAAAGTTTATATGGTGTAACAGGGGGCAGCATTTGTGGTGTTAAAGTTTATTAATATTTTTTTCACGGAGCCTGGATAAGCGTGGATTTTTAAAGAATGTTTTTTTCATGGAGCCTGAATAGGATTTTTAAAGGCGTGAATTTTAAACAGAATATTTTTTTCATGGAGCCTGGATAGGGGTTGTTTTTTTTTGAGAATATTTTTTTTCATGGAGCCTGAATAGGATTTTTAAGGCGTGTATTTTTAACAGAATATTTTTTTTTCATGGAGCCTGGATAGGGGTTGTTTTTTTTTTTGAGAATATTTTTTTCATGGAGCCTGAATAAGAGTTTTAAAGGCGTGAATTTTTAACAGAATATTTTTCTTTTCATGGAGCCCGGATAGGGGTTGTTTTTTTTTTGAGAATATTTTTTTCATGTAGCCTGGATAGGTGTGGATTCATAAAGGATATTTTTTTTCATTGGAGCCTGGATAGGCGTGGATTTTTAAAGAATATTTTTCAATGACAAGTATGGATTTTTAAACAAAAATTTCTCGAAGAGCCTGAATATGCGTGAATTTTTCGAGAATATTTTCTCATGGAGCCTGGATAGGTGTGGATTCTTAAAGGATATTTTTTTCATTGGAGCCTGGATAGGCGTGGATTTTTAAAGAATATTTTTCAATGACAAGTATGGATTTTTAAAGAATATTTTCTCATGGAGCCTGAATATGCGTGAATTTTTCGAGAATAATTTCTCATGGAGCCTTAATATGCGTGAATTTTTAGAGGATATTTTTCATTGAGCTTTTTAAAGAATATTTATTTCTCTTTTATGATAATATATTGATGCATTTGAAGGTTTTTGTTGGACAGTTGATTGAAAACCTCCTGGGACCTAATTTCAGCTCAATTAAAAAGTGTGATATTATTACATTATTGTTTTTATTTTCAAT